TACCTGGTTGATCTTTTGTTTTTAAGAGGTTTGATTATCGGGACTCTTTTTGGCCCGTTTTGTTGCGTTGTCACTCCTCTCTCTTTCCCCCTTTCCTTGTCACTCTTTCAGCTGTCACTATCCCAATTTAGTCCATTATATATATATAATATATATATAAGGTATATATACAATTACTGAAAACTGAAGGTTACTTGCGAGAGAAGAGAGAAGGCAGCAAGTAAAAATGGTATGGATGAGAAAATAAAAACCGCAAACCCAGAAGTCTGTACATACCCAAAAACACAACGAGCACCCTCACACAAAAAGTAGAAACACCAGGGGAACATAACACCCACATTCACGATAACCATGCCAGTCGCAATCCACGAAAATAGATCAATGACACCTAGAAGAATCTGCTACTTCCTCGGTTTGAGGAAAAAAAGGAAACACATTTAAAAGTAAATGTTTTGTCTAGTTGTATTTTGTGGTAAGGTTGTTACTTCAGCTGTATGCTCACTGTTCAAGGACAGCTGGACTGTTAAAGATAAAACTGCTGTTTGATCCAAACTGTGCTTGAAATGTCCTTAAAAGACCAGATCTTTAAAGTGGAGGACGGGTCAGCAAGAGAGACAGCGAGAGACTGGCTCAAAGCTTTAGCCAGATGGGATTAGAAACCATATTTACAAAGAACAATGAGTTCATTAGACAAAAACTAGCGATGATCGAATAACTAAAAGTAATACATATTTTCTTTAAGAGCAAAATAAAATCTAAATGTTTAAGTTATTGTTTTATGGGAGAAGGAAGAGTGCTCACCAAATAAACGCTTAAAAAAGATTTTCTCTCATTATATTGAATATTTTGGCAAGGCTGTCCACAAATTGTTCTGTAGGCTGTGAATGTATTTTTTATGAGGTTATGTAATAGCCCCGACTGACCCACATTTAAACAGGACAAACTGCGAATGGTGACAGTGGACTGTTTCCTGCGAATAGTTTAATACTTCACCAATCCTAATGGGTCCAGTGCTTTCATGTATTCACAGCCTTGTTTCACTCATCAGGAGGATGATGATGATAATGATGAT